CAGCCCCCGTTGGTGGCCACGGCGACACTGAGCTCTCCCTCTCCCTGCAGCGCTGAAGGCGCAGCTGGACACAAAGCTCTTCGGGCAGCACCTGGCCAAGGACGTGGTGCTGAAGGCGGTGATGGGCTTCAGCAACAACCCCAGCCCCAAGAAGCCGCTGACGCTCTCGCTCCACGGCTGGGCTGGCACCGGCAAGAACTTCCTCAGCCAGATCCTGGCGGAGCACGTCCACCGCGCCGGCCTGCGCAGCAAGTTTGTCCATCTCTTCTTGGCCACCCTGCACTTCCCCCACCACGACCAAGTCAAGCTCTACAAGGTGAGGAGGGACACAAGGTAATCCAGTCACCCCGAGTCCCAAACCGCCCTAGTACGGGGGTTTGGCTGCGTGTGCTGCGCATGTGCCCTGACATGCCTGACCACTGGCATGGGTACAGCTGGGTGTTTCCAAAGTTGGTGCTTGGGAGAGGTGGAGGGGGAAACGCATGCAGAAAGCGAAAAGAGAAAGGCACCAAAATGCCAAGAAATCCAAAGTGAAAGCAGTTTCCTAGCGCTGTCCTCTCACTGATGCCATCTGCTGATTTCTGCAGCACTTGCTGGTCAGAAAGAATCCCGTCATTAAAGCTTCGCGTGCTGGTTGGCTGGGATGGGGGTAACTTTCTTCATAACAGCCCCTGCGGGGCCATGTTTTGTGTTTGAGGCTGAAACAGGTTTGATAACGCACCAGTGTTTTGGCTGTTAGGGAATAGTGCTTGCACAGCCTCAAAGCTTGGGTTTCTTCCAAGGTCAGGTCGGATGGGGCTCTGAGCAACCTGGTGTAGATAAAGATGTCCCTGCTCACTGCAGGGGGGGGTGGACTAGATGACCTGTAAAGATCCCTTCCAGCCCAAAACGTTCTGTGGTTCCCCCATTAAATTAAATTAAATTCATTGTCTGTGTTAAAGGGATCAGTCACAGAGTTTATGGTCCTCTCTTCAGGGAAAAGTACAACAACAGACGTCCCTAGGGTCTGTCCCATACGAGCATCTTGCAGTACACCCAGAAGAGACCTTGGGTTTCAGTGTTTTTCAACCTCTTGTTCCAGGAACAACTGCAGAACTGGATTCGGGGCAACGTCAGTGCCTGTCCCCACTCGGTCTTCATTTTTGATGAGATGGACAAAATGCACCCAGGTCTCATTGATGCCATCAAGCCATTCTTAGACTATTACGAGCAGGTTGATGGGGTCTCCTACAGGAAAGCCATCTTCATCTTCCTCAGGTCTGTAGCACCTATTTCAGCCATTTTGAGATACTGAGATAAATCTGTGTTTATGATGATAATGATGTTCCTAGGAGAACAGCAGAAGAACAAGTGAAGACCCTCTCTGTAAAGACAGAGGGGAGCACTGTGAGCTCTTGCGTGGCCTGTGGCTGTAGTGGAGCAGGTCTGATGCCATGCAGCAGACCATCGCAGCGTGCTGAGCTCATGAGCCTGGCCCAGAGCCCAGACCATATGAGAGTTCATAGTTTGGGGAAGTTCTCTGGGATGGGCGCACCGTGTCCTGGGTCTGGCTGGCATGGAGGTAACTGTCTTCACAGTTTGGTGCTGTGTTTTGGATTCGTGGCTAGAACAGCGCTGATAACACAGCAATGTTTTGGCTGTTCCTGGATGGTGCTTGCAAAGCACCCGTGCTGCACCCAGCGAGCAGGCTGGGGTGGGCAAGGGGATGGGAGGGGACACAGCTGGGACAGCTGACCCAAACTGGCCAGAGGAATACTAAATGCCATGTAATGTCATGCTCAGCAATAAAAAACGGGGTAGAGAAAGAAGGGGAGGGTCAGCTTTCAAGGTGATGGTTCTTTGGAGGCTGCCTGGGTGTTGGTCTGGCTGTGGCGGTGGTAAGTCATTTCTTTAGTCTTCCTTGGGGTTTTTTTTTTCTTCCTCTTTTCATAACCTATTAAACTGTCTTTCTCTTGACCCCCAAGTCTTCTCACTTTTGTTCTCCCTGTTTTCTCCTTCCAGCCTGCTGAGCAGGAGGGAGTAAGCAAGCGGCTGTGTAGGTGCTTGACTGCTGGCTGGGCTCAACCCACTGCACACTGATGGCTATTTAAAGAACTGGAGACCTTCCCTAAATTTTGGCTTACAGGTTTCTGTTTTGGTGATTTGTTTGACATCAAAAAGATTAGCACTACGTGTGACCGGCTAAAAAAGAAATTGTGGTTCAGTTGTGTCTGTATTCACCACTGTACGTTTTCCTTTCATGAATAGCAATGCAGGTGGTGACTTAATTAATAAAGCAGCTCTTGACTTCTGGACAAGTGGAAAGCACAGGGAAGAGATTCAGCTGAAGGACCTGGAGCCCATGCTGTCTGTAGGAGTCTTCAATAACAAGAATAGTAAGTCACTTTCTCCACAAAATGGGAAATTCATTTCACTTCGTATCACAGGGTTCATCTCTGCAATCTGCCCCGCAGCCTACCTTGACCCTGCCCTGCTTCCTGTGACCCCACCTTCCTACGGTGCCCTGGCCCCGTGCCCCGCTGTCCCTGCGCTCCAGTGTCCTGCCCTGCCCTCGCGACAGAGTTTTCAGCCCAGCAGTTGCTCTGCGTGCACGCTGAAGGGCAGCAGTGACGACTGCGAGGTCCCGTCAGTCTGATCCATCCAGCTCACCTGCCTGCTGGTCTGAGACAAACGCCTTTGTGGCCTGTGGATCCGATCTGTAACGGGTCTGCCTGAGCTGCAGCCCTC